GGCCGAGCGAGCGGGAAGAGCGGACCGGAGCGAAGCGAGGAGGACAGAGTCGGGGATAAGACAGGATTGTTGCAGGAGACGGTGGCGACGACTGCGTCTGCGAGGACGAACGGAGGATGGGGGACTCGCTGTAAGTTTTGATATATGCGCGACGTTATTTACGATCGCGCATAAGAATTAGCTCAGGAAGCAAGGCGTCCTGCGCGCGCAAAAAGCGCAGCTTCGTGCCGCGGACTGGCACTGCACTCCACCGGTTTTTGCGGAGCCCCGTTGCGTCTAGCTTCCGCAAAAGTCGTTAAATCTCGCGCCGCATTCGACGAATCAGCCAAATGACGCTTCTTGCCGCGGCTCTGTATCGATGGGTGCCCGAATCTCTCTGCTACATTATTCTTCTGTTCGTCGTTACAGAGAACGAGCCACCGGTTCCGTCATAAAGACGATCGAACGGCCGCGTGAATCATTGAGGGACACGTTCGGCGAACTATCGCTGCGACTATTGATTCGCATGAAAGATACACGGGGCCGCCTCTGTTCCTTCGGCGAATGAATAAAGGAAGCGGTGTCCGGGCACCGCACGAAAATCGCCAAAGAATCGTGAAAAATTAACGCGGCCAGCTCCCGATAGCCGGCGCTCGTCAGAAAGCCACCGAAAGTCATTTTTCTCCGGGGGGCATTCAGCGCCGCGCGCGATTAATTAATCACCGGACGTCGATTTCGCCGAGTCCGGGGATCGATTAATAAAACCGACCAGTCGTCGTCGCCGTCGCCGCTGACGTCGCCGCCGGCTCGTTGTTTAAGACGATCGATGCGCGGCCGCGGCCGCGTTCGCGTTTCACGCGACAGAAGCGATTGGTCAGACGCCGCGCAATTTCCCCGGCGATGTTCACGGGATGGGACGCGTGTAACTCGCTGCACGCCCGTAAAAATCTGCCCGGCCGCCGCCTTTAATCCCGCCTTCTGATGGGAACACCTCCGTTGGCCGCGATAAAATGCGTAAACCCGCAATCTGCGGGACGACGTCGCCGGAGTCCTGATTCATCGGCCGCGACGACGGCCTCGAGCTTGCGCGCGGAATTCTGCTCCACGGAAAATGACTGAGAAACGAATCCACGTGTGTTTTGTTTCGAACGATCTCGCAGTATGACTCGCGAGGAGGAGACCTTTATTATTCGCGAGCGATTTGGAACGCGATCCTCGCCAAATATCTTGACACACTTCGACTCGTAAAATAACTTGAGAAGTTTAAAAATTCTGAGCTCTTTCATGAATCGACAGGCTTGGATGGTTGCAGAGAGGAGGTTTTTGGTCTTATTGGTAGTATTCAACACTTGATGGATTCTATACAGGGTGTCCCAAAAATGTTTCGCAATCCGGAAATGGCGGGTTCCTCAGATAATTTGAAGCAACTTCTTCCTCTACAAAAATTTTCTCCGAGGCACCGTTAACGAGTTATTAACGAAAAACAGTGACCAATAAGAATCGAGTGCGGCTGACGTGAGGCGGCCCAGCCAACCAGCGCACGAAGCCCAGATCCGCTCATTGACTCGGTCGCCTCGCGTCAGCTCAGCTCGCCTCTCATTGGTCACTGTTTTTCGTTAATAACTCGTTAACGGTGCCTCGGAGAAAATTTTCGTAAAGGAAGAAGTTGTTTCAAATGACCTGAGGAACCCGCCATTTCCGGATTGCGAAACATTTTTGGGACACCCTGTATATTTGTTCTCGAAGTTAACGACACTGAAGAAGAAGAAGAAGAAGAAGATTTTGATGAAGATGCTGCGCCTTTGGTTTGTTTCCAGTCACGATTTACTTCGTCTCGTCTCGTTCATTTATGAATAACATGAATTTCATACGTTTTATCCGATAAATATAAAGTCAATTATGCCCGGAAAATGCTATAGTCGTTAGTCATCTCACTACGATCGCCTCCACTTCCCTAAGTTCCTTTATAAAGGGCGGAATAAGTAGGTAAATTCATCGGTCGACTGAATTATTGCTTGAAGTCGAAGTGAACCGAAGCATTGGACTTCTTACATGCGGGGCAGTGAGAACCGAGGCGGTCTGAACGCAGGGAATAAAACTGAAAGTTTTCGAAGTTCCAGGTCAAACAAAAATTTGCCAGCCATTAGCCGTCCAGGGTACAAGCAACCCCTATTGGTCTTCGATAAGCTGCCGCCCGATTGGTCGCAGCAAATCTCTCGGAACTTGGTGTGCTCTGTCTCCAGTCTTTGCTCGAACTTCGAGAGGAGTGCAACGAGTGCTAAGTTCAGTTATTAAGGAGGATAACTCGGAGCGAGATTGCCGACTGCGAGGAGAGGAGAGAGAGCAATTACAGCCTGGAAATCACCGGCCACGCTAACACGTGAGTACAGTCTCTTTCGATGGAGTTTCATCGAGCGTGGAGCGTGAACGGTCGTTTAAACAATTTCATTCGCGTCGGCGTCGGGGCGATAATAATTCTCCCGTAGATCCCGGCGCCCGCAATTTATTCAGTTCTACCAATCGGAGCCGGTGTTTCATCGTAGCGCTACGTTTATGCGATATTTACGGCGGTATTTATGAGGATATTTGCGTGGGTGTTCGCTCGTAAAAATCATCTCCGCGTCGGGCCACCGTGACGGTCCCGTTTAATTCCGGTAGGACGGTAATTCTTTCGGGAACCGGTTATGCGATCGGGCCCATAAACATGCGTAAATTCGCAATTTGGAAAACCGTGCGGCGAATCGCCGAAACTCTGATTTATCTGCGCGATCGATGACCAGCCAGCGTGCCGAGCGCCGGCAAAATGTTGCCGGGCCGATGTAACAAACGACGTTCCCGAGCATTTCATCATACCCGGTATCGAGGTATACAAATTTTGGGGTTGTAAACCGAGAATGATTCGCGGTGCACGTGTGCTTTTTACGGTCTGCCCGCGTGCGGCCTTCGATCTGTGATTTCGGTTCGAAACTCGGCCCCGATAGTCGCGGCGAAGAAGCGCGGATTTCGTTGCCGTCGATCACGATGCATGGAAAACATTAGCATCGGCTTCCACGTAATTTTCGTGATATAAGTAATAATTAAAGTTAAGCTACTCCAATATGTACCCTGACGACGTCGGTCCGAGGACTCCGGATTTAGAGTACATATTGAAGGAGCCGAACTTTCAAACTTATATCTTAGAAATTAGCAAGTTACCGCGTCATTCTACGCTCCGAGCTCCGCCGGGGAATCTCGCGTTACTTTCGGCGGTAATGAAAATGAGGGACCACGCAGCGCCCCGCGACGACGAGCCGACAACAGCGAAGACGCGTTTAACGTCCACCGGACGCGGAGAAACGGCGGTGGCTCGGCAGTCGCCTATAAACCGCGTAAATTCGCAATCTGCGAAACTACGAAACGAGTCGGCGAAGTTCTGATTTACGGCTTGTCCTGGCGGAGCCTCGGGGTGGCCCGGGAAGGGCGGCCGGCGGATACGTGCGGATGTGCGCGCGTGCACGCGGTGGGCGTCGCGACGCGGCGCGTCGGTCGCCCGAGAAAAATGCGACTCCGCGCAATAACTTCCGAAGGAGAATGCACGATAATAGAGACTACTGGCTGCGAATTCCGCATGCAACTCTCGCGGCTCGACTCACCGCTTCCCTCTCTATTTCTCGCGAGGACACCGCCACCGACACCCACGCCCCCCTTTCCCTCCCTCGCCAGGACTCGCGCTCCTTCTTTCGCGGCCGCAAACCGGGACCGCGGCGAGCCGAGCTGCCCTGAGCCAGACAAATAGTTCCGCCGTGAAATACCGCCGCCTCCTTAAAACTTTAAAGTGTTTCGAGTAATCCTAAGACGCGACTTTAGATCATGGGCCATCCCCTGCTTCGACTTTCCTCTTCCCGCTGGCACCGCCGCAACTCGCTCCCCCCGGATCGAATATAAATCGTATTTAGTTGTTTCGCCGCGGGACTGGATTTTTCATTATGCTCGCCGCGGAACCGAGAATTCTCCTCGGCCGGCATCGCAGCCGGATACCCGGCTGCAGCTGCCGCGAAACTTTCGCGAAGATTGCTACGCAGCGGAGCTTTATTTTCGTGAATTACGAGCTCCGAGATTTGTGGAAACCGAGCTGCCCGGCTAACGATTGATTATTCTACTCGCGACGAGGTTCTACCGCGTCGTAATTCGTACTTTGTCGATATATCGTTTGTAGCAACGTTTTAAGTATGGAAAAGCAGGCGAATGTCAGGGCCAGGGGCTATGATCTACATTTTAAGTAGTACAAGTCAATGATTTACGAGTCGAAGGAAGAATATATTGATTTATTTGCTGGAAAACCGACTTGCGGAAATGTCGGTACTAGGGTATTGTTTTCTACACAATTTGTTTGTAGAATGAAGCCAGTTTGAGTGTCTGGAAAGTTGATCATCTCGACGGGAAGAATTTTTAAGTAGCAATTTTATCAACCGCTTCGCAAAGGTTTCATTTGCTTGGAATCATTATTGTTTGAGTCACGGTACATAAGCATGGTATTCTATACTTTAGTATTGTAGAATAATGCCGGTTTACTCGTATTTGTCGTCGGAAAACTTATTACCTCGACGGGAACAATTTATAATTAGTACGAGTCGCCGATAAATGCACCTTGTCGCATTACAACGTTTCATTTGCTTGGCATCGTAATTGTTAGAGTCACGGTACAAAAGCATTGTATTCTATACTCTACGATTGTAGAATAATGCCAGTATTGCTCGCATTTGTTGTCCGTAAACTTATTACCGCGACGAGAACAATTTTTAAATAGTACGAGTCGCCGATAAATGCGCCTTGTCGCGTTCCAATATTTTTGTTCGCTTGAAAAGCAATTTGTTGGAGCTGCCGTAGAAAAACATTGTGCTTCTACGGCATGGCTTGTAAAATAACACCGGTTCGTCATTGCTGAAACAGTCTAACAGAATCTGTACACAGGAAATGTTGTAAAATGAAACCGGCATGGCGCGGAGTTCGGAAAGATTTTCATGTGAATTTCCGGTGCTCACCTGGCTCGACGAACAGCATGACAGTGTCAGCGCGTCCCTCGCTCGGTCTGCAGGCGTATTTTCCGACGTCGTTCGGCGTCACCGACGCCAAAGTCAATTCGGAAACGGTGCGTGCCGCGCCTCGCTCCGTCTCGACGTTGATCCCGCCTCGTGCCGACTGTAAACAATGTGAACGCCAAACTGCAGCACGGAAATCTCGCCGGCGCAAACGGAAACCGGTTGTTTACAATTAATACCGCCGTATTTGCGAAAGCACGAATCATACACGCCCGTGTCCGGCGGCCCATTGTTGACCGCGCGAATATTGCGATTGAAAAATATCGGCCGGCCCCCGGAAAATTACATAAATCCCACGGAGGCTGTTAACGGCTCGTAATTTCGTCATAAATCCGGCGGGATGTATTGCCCGGAATCTCTGCGAATAAATAAACGTTCGACCGGGCCGGTCGGTATCGCGACCTCGATCTTAACCCATGCGTTTTTCATTTCGCCACGGGAACAATTTGGCCGATAATTATTTCCACCCGGCTTTAACCGGGGGACGACGCGCGCGCGCGCGCGCGCGCTGCCGAACCTATTCGAGAATTTATTTGTCCATTTTAAATCCCTTCAACGTTAACGTTCCCGTCCCCCGAAGAACCGGCGCTGCTAAAAATATCTGCTCAAATTCTCGTAAAACACGCTCGACGAAACGTTAATCCCTTTACACTAAAACCGTGGCGGACTTTTTATTCAATCATGGTTGTTGCGATATTCGAAGCAAAATTCAATTTTTCGGTTTCCTCTTTGCATTCACCTTGTAGACCCGTTGTTTCGATAAACAAATGCAAAAGGGAAAGAAAGTAAAAAGAAAAGGAATGAGGAAATAAAAAATCATTGCAGAGATCTCCTTCGGCAGATACATCGCTCCAGAAGCGTAGACGAAGAACGCGGCCCCTCCGCCGATTTCAATTCCGCTCAGCTCGAGGCCACGCGGAATATTCTCCGCACGTAAACAAAAATGTCACACGCGGACGAAAAGGTCGATTCTCGGAGCTTCGGGCCCTGTCGTCGCTATGATTTACGATCATGTTTCTTCGGTCTCCGAGTCGAGATTCCGTCTCGAGTGGCGGGAGTAACGGGACGACAGGACGAAGCGTCGGGACGCGCGGCACCGGAAAAAATTTCATTAGTGTCTCGCCGAAGCTTCTACGGACGGCCGAGAGAGTATGGGATATATGCGTTACCTGGAATGTGAGGAGTTTGTTATCCCGGAGCCACTGAACGCCTCTGACGGGCCTGGTCTGATACGGGGACAATATGACGCACCTCAAGGTGATCGTCGTGCCCGCCAGCACCTTCTGCTCCCGGGGACCCATTATCGCCGCAACTGGCGCCGTGCTCTCGTAACCTGCAACCCACGCACGGACAAATATCATACGACGGGTCGGCATCGTCTGCCGGCGAGATTAGACGGGGCTTAAAGCGACGCTAAATGGTTTGTCAGCGGCATCAGCGCGTGTCAAGCTCATTATACCGGCGCGTCCTCGTCCGTCGCTGCGAAAGCTCGTCTACGAGGTTGCAACAACACGCCGAGCTTCCATGCAGACTCTCGCGATACTGGAATTGGTGCGCGTCGTCCGGTTAAAAGTCGAGCAATTAGCTGCGGCCAGACGGAACAGTTTCCGTTGAGAACGAAATTAGTCGGATTTTTTAACTTCGCTATCGAGAAAATTAAGTTCGGTCGCCGCTCGACTCCGGTTTCCGATCGGCGTTTGCTTGTTCTACTTGCAACCACTGCGACGTTTAATTCTCTCCTCTTTCGCGATTCCGATATAATTGCGTTCATTGGATCCAGTAGAAGTGGTCTGCGGTGGTCAGACATTTCTCTACTTGTGTGATCTCGTGATGCAGCCTCTGTTATTCGAATCACGTCACAGTTGATGAATCATTTCCCTTAATCCCTTGCACTGCAATTTCATTCGTAGCGACGATAATTAGCATTTCTTCGTGCTGAACAGTTTCCGTAATTGAGTGGGCCGTCTATTGGTTTCTTTATAAAATTGCTACGAAAAAGCCGGTTAACGATTCCTCAAACATTTTTGCTAAGTAAAAGTAAGCCTGCCGATTAACACTAGATTTACGGAACCCGTCAAAGTGACGGGTTAGGAATTTTTTAATTTCATTCATATCGTACAGATACATTTACGAGTTATTTATTCAATTTATACAATACTCACGGCAAATGTTACAATACAACACTTGTTCAAAATCAGAATAAATGTCGCATTGTTACTAATACAAAAGCAGCTGTTTCTTGTGCTCCGTAAATCGAGTGTTAAATCTGATAAATAATTTCAACGCGCCACCCTCGCGAACGTGTCGTGGCCACCGCGCAACTGCAATCTGTCGCCGTTGCAAGCGACTTAGAAAGTTCTCATTTCGCATAAACGAATGCTCGCAGTGCAAAGGGTTGAGAGAACAAGCGACGAGAAGTGTTCCGTTTTCTGGCATATTCTTAGAAGCGTGACTAACGATTCGCAAGACGCATTGTCCTTTCATTACCGTTAATTAGAAAAATACTCGAGCCACAGGACTAACCGCGAGCGCGTATTCGTTCAGGTGTTCATCCACCGGCGGCCAGACAAATACGTTACGCGTGCGGTAACGTTCCTAGCCGGTCGACACAAATAAACAAATTACAGTCGGCTGTTTGAAGTGACGTTAAGCGGCTCGTTGCGTCGAGGACCGAGAAAGTAATTACTCGGCGTGGAGCACGGGGGGGGCGGTAGGGGCGAGGGCGGTCGGGAGAGGGTTAAATCCATTTCACGTTTCTGCACGGCGGGAAAGAGAGAAGCCGGTTCGTTACACGGTTATGGAGAAGACGAGCCGCGAGGTCAAGTTTCCACGAATCGGCTCGGATCAGCGGCGGGACCCGAGATTCCTTGGCTTCTCGATGACTTCATTAGACGATCAGCCTCCGTTCCTTGGTGTTCTCGTGATGAAAACACCCCTCGAGGCGAATTAATTACGCTCTCCGGGTGGAAATATCGGCCGGGCGGAAGTTCCGCGAAGCCGCGGAACGATCGACCGCGCCCGGCGCGGCGGAACGAACTTCGCCGCAACTTTTTAATTGACAGCATCAGCCGCGTCTGACGTATCGCGACCGCGCGGTAATTGACGGCGTATATTCGTTCCCTCGCCTTTAATAATCCGTCGCGGGATTGCCGGGTGTTGTCCGACGAGGCGGACGAGTCGGCGAACGGGGAAACGAAATAAATGGTAACAATTTGTATCCGAAGGATTCGCGGCTCCGCGGACGGCGCGCTGACTAATCGGTCCGCATTAACGTTGCGCAATAATTTTAATTAATGCGCGCGGACACACGGGGCACAGCGGCGATTGCCGCTGAAACGGCGGAAAAGAAGGGAGCACGGTGGGACGGGCTGCTGTCAAGTTTGTACATTTTAATTTAGAGGGCCGGGGCCAAGTACTCGTTTAATATGCGTGCCGCCGTGAAACGACGCGTTCTCCTTTCGCCGCGCGAGAGCGTTTCGTTCGCTCCAGTTCCCAGCTCGAAATCGAATTCTTCCCGCCGCCTTTCTTCTCCACCCTCTGGCGACCGACCAACCGTGCCACCCCCGATCTTCCATTCCCCCGCGGGGCTTGATTTTATTTCTGAGGACTCGATAATTCCCGTTCGTCTGAATCCAGGATCCGCTTAAGCCGAGGCGAGCGCGCGGCGATTCCTGATGAGCGGCGAATCACGAGCAAATTCTTCGGCATGTCCTTTCCGTGACCGTGCTCGCGCTTCACGATTTCCAAGCTGACGGAAACCTCTAAAGCGTTCCGTAACGATCGGCTATTCAATATGTAATCGATTAATAAGTTAACGTTCCGAAGAATATCGGAATTATTCGCAAGAAAATCGGAATTATTTTTAAGAAAAATTTTCCGTATTTCGAAGACAGATGAACGAGTTCGAAAAAATCGCGGTTTCCTTAGTTTTTCCCTTGGAACGATTTTCTTTTTCAAACTCCTGAATCGGTGGATAAATTCTGCGAGACCGGATTTAAAATCGATAAATATTTCAATACGTTGCACGAGTACTCGGATGCGAGTTTCTATCACGTTCATGCTGTATAATTGTATATTTACCCGTATATCCGCGACTGGTATTATCATTCGTATATACCAAAGGGAGCACTCCCGTGTACGAGCAAGTTGAAGAAAGAAGCATTCGAAATATTCAGCTGTTACCGCACACAGCTGTCTCGATCCTGCTATGAAACGACGCGCTTCGACACAGAATAATTACTCCAAGTCCGTGGGGAGCCGAACCTAATTCTATCAGCGCGTGCTTAAGCTCGCTGCGTTTGCGAAATATATTCTCGAAATTTCGTCCGCGAATATTCTTATGCCGCCTCGACTATCCCGTAGTGTTACAGTAATTACCGCCTAATGGGAAGATAATGAAATCCGCTGTCGCCGCGCACGGAAGAAAGTTCATTTTAATTCGACGTGGGAAACATTTTCTAGCATTTCGGGCGCTCTCCCGATATCGCGAGCAACGCTTCTGCAGGCTGCCCTCGAAGACTCCGTGGCAACGGGGTCACTTAAAATCTGGGCTCGAAAACCAGTGGGAAGCGCGGCAAGGCGGGTAGAGGGGCAGGGAAGAGAGCTTGTAGGCCGAGGTATTCGGGAGGAAGGAGGATCCGGCGCGAGGAGCGGTCAAAGGCCCGGAACGAGACGTCCCAAAGGGATCACAATTACGATTCACTTACCGCGATTCGGGCTTCAAGTTTCGTCGCTGTATTAAAACGCGACCTACTTCTGGCAGCGCCGGCCAGGGAAAAGAAGTAACTAAAAACCGGCGAAAGGGCCAAGCAGCAGCGATAGTTGCTCCCGGAAATTGGAGTTTGAAGTGCGAACAAACAAGGGGCCGGCGCTCGAGACGAGCACGCGGCCTAATAATTCATTAGACGAATTGCGGCCGGAAAACAATGGGTTTAGGGGCGCGGCGGAAAGCGTAAGGTATGCGATAATGTTGGGACGATTATACATTATTCAACGCTGGGATCACGGTCGAGACTCGTTTAACGCGGCCGTTCTCCCGGGCCGAGTCCTTTGGAGACGCACCGCGCGGCCAGGTGACGAGGAAAAAGACCCTGGAAGGAGGTTTTCCAGGACTACCTGGATTAAGGATAATCCTATTAGACTCGAATTAATCCCGCCCTCTCGCACCACCCGCCCCCGCTTGTTACTCGGCGAACTGTATTTCTCCGCGGCGAAATATTACGTTATACCGTTATTACTGTACGCGGCAGCCTGTTTCTTCAGCGTGCTACTTTGCTTTCTTTTTGCCCGCTCTGCGACACTCTGCTTCACCGCTGAATTTATTAACGGCGTACTCCCCACGGGCCGATAATCTTCGCTAAACGCACCGCGACGCGAACAACCGGCCACGTAAACGCATGTAAATCTTTCAACGATCCGCCGACGCTGTTGCGCTTTTCGCCGAGACCTCGTTCACGAAGTAACACAGGTAACAAATTGGTAAAATGCACCGCGGTTGCAGTGCAACTCCTTCTTCTCCTGAACGAGAAGAATACATGTTCACGTATCGCGATCCATCGGAAGAGATTCGTACAGAGTGTAAGAAGTGAATCATTTTTGCGGATCCTGAATCGCGTTGATCGTTTATACGTGACGCGATAGGCGATGATTATAGTAATGTCTCCCTAATTGACGCTCAGATTGTCCACAAAAATGGATAATTTGGGAAAAGGAGATTAAATTGAATCTTGCGCCTCGATTTTATAATTTCCGATTCTCAACAACTATAAAAACGAGGCGCAAGCCTCGAATAATCGTGTCTCCTGTTCCCAAATTGTCCATTTTCGTGCACAATCTTGGCCTCAGTTAGTTCGTGGATTTTCGTGTAAAATAAGAATTGTTCGCACTGATTGCAAGACGCGAAATCTCCACAGACATTTATCTCTGTGCTTAATAATTCGAATGAGTTTCACATAAGCCAACGGTACCTTTAAATTTGTCAAACGTTTTCATTGTTTTCGATCTGATCTACTCATTTCCGTCATAAATGCATCAAATCTACGGTCTAGTAATAATCATTTTCTCTTCGATCAAAGACGTATTTTCGCATCGCTCGTATTTTTTAGCTAAGCATTTTTCATCAGGAATGCTTGAATTTGAAATATTATCCATTCGGACATTAAGCAAACAGGTAACATTTCATTCATCCCGCGAATACCGTCAGGCATGAAAAGACCTTTGATTCGAAGACCTTCTAGCCGTCGGCAATAGTTTTTAATTACTTTAGAGTGTACACAGCAATTATAATATTCCTCCTGCCTTTTGCCGGTTTCATTCTGCGAGCATATTCTAGCTCCGATTTATCTCTCATAACGTGAGAATACTTTGTTGAATAACGATAACGCATTTTTCCTTATCATAAATGTCTAATCTGTTGAACAAACTCCGGTCGCGCGAACGTTTGATAATAAATTATCTGCGAGAGGCGTGTACCAGCCAGCTTGTTTAAATGTTTCCCGTGCTAATACAAGAATCGTTGCGTGAACGTTCCCATAATGAACGATGTATAATAATATCCATCGTGCAAACATCGCGACGCATGCGTCGCCGTGTGGAAAGAGCACTTACGGAATAGGGGCTCGAAACGTACAAAAACAGGACACTAAATCGCGTGACTCGCGTTACGATTTCCAGCAGTCCTTCGAGGATTGCAAAATTTGAACAAAGAGGATCCGCCGATTCGCAGGAAAATTGCAACAGAAGGAGACGTCGACGGCTTGATGTAATATTTCGCCTAATGTTTCGGGTATCCATCAGGGGGCACGTTATTTATAAGCATGCGATACTAATGGAAGCTGATGTATTTCCTCGACAGAAAAGGGTCTTCGGTGACACATTTATACACCGTCGGCCCGTTAAAAAATCATCCGACAGCCGGCTTTTTATTTCACCGGCGGATCCGGTCGACATCAATCACTTAAGGATAAGTGCGCTTCTTCGCTGGCTTTGACGGCCGGGGATCCGTCGTCGATTCTTTTTGCAGCGTCCTGCTAGACGCTTCATAATTCTCTCCGAGTTCCATCATTTCATCCCCGAGACGCGAGATTTCTGGACCTTTTCTATATTGCTGCCGAGCCGGGATCCGCTCTCTCTCCTCGGAGCTTTAAGTCGACGATAACCGGCACGGAACGCCTCGCAAAGATCTTTCTTTGTCCACCCGAGTAAATTGCCAACCAATTGGCATTTTAATGAAACAAAAAGATTTTCGAGCAGTCGGAAAAGAGGTCTGGATCGGCGGAATTCGAAGAGATAGACGCGAGCGAGAAGCGTAAGTTCGATGAACTGCTCTCGCGAATCGCGCGGGTCTTATCATTCAGCGCGCCGATGATTACACGGACAGCTTCGGACGCAATGCGGACTAATTGTACGATTCCGAACGGAAATTTAAGTATCGCGGCAAGTATGCGAATCGAGTAACACAAAGTTGCCGAGCGACACACGCGGTTTCTCGCTCGGAGAACATTTCGGAGATATCGAATTCGCGACGTCGCTGTAACGGAGACCGTCGCGTGATTCCCGAATGAAAAATTAACAGGATTCCGGTAAACAGCGACCGAAACCGGCCCTGTTACCGAAATAAACGAACGGTCGCGAGCCCGAAAACTTGCGAGCGCCGGAATAAGGTCGGAAACGCAGTTTAAGTGTCGTGGATCGGAACTAGAGTCGGATAATCCGCCGAAAAATTGTATTTCCATGGAAGTTTGTCGAGCGCCGCTGGAAAACGAGCTGAAAATATTCTCGAAGTTTCTGCGACGCCGAGGGAAAAACATTATAGCGAGAGGCGAACATATTAGACTTTGAAATGCGCCCAAAAATGGGTCGTTCCCGGTTTGCCGCGGGTCGGTAATCGTAATCGAATTTTGCGACACTTAACTTCGAACATTGGATTTCCCACGAAAGTCGGCCAGCTTGCTGCGACCTCTCTCTCTCTCTCCTCTTTTAACAAGTGCCGCATATTTTTTTAAGCTTATCCACCGTTCGCGAAAACAATTGTTATACCCGAAGGCGCTTCCTTTTAAATCCGGGGTAAAAAGATATGCATTTATTACGGTGTTCGCGGTATTCGATTGTGTCAAAGTCTGCGTATTTCCGGTGCATATTCCGACATAAAAAATATAATAATAAGTAAAAAGAATATTAAAGAGAAAAAGTCTGTGAAAGCGTCGTCGAGGTGCATCGAGTTCCGCATATTTCTGAAGCTTGTCTGTAATTCTATGAATCAATAATTGCATTTTGAAGCACTTCTTTTAGATCTTGGTAAATTATTTGCAGACGAAGCAAGCGGCAATTAGCGAGAATAATTACCTGTATAGAGATTTACATTCGCAAGAGGAAATATCTGAGGAAAAATCTTGTAGCATCGGATTCCTGGTATTTCTGAAACTTATCTAGAATTCTCGTAAAACAGCGAGTTTGTTTTGGATCCGCATAAATTATTCGCGGGCGCAACAAGCGACAATTAACGGGAATAATTATAGTAGCATATACGGCGATATTCGCCGTAGGAAAAATCAGCGGAAGTATCAGGCGGCATCGGATCCCGAATTAAATCCCGCGAGTAGCCGGCGCGGCGGAACTTTCCGATGTAGTTTTGATTGCATCGCTGAAGTGTGAGTATCTGCGCACTGTCAACAGCCGACGAGAAATTTGCAATAAAACGCCGGGGGTCTCCGTTCGGCGATCCGTTGTGGGATTGTTTGATTGAAAATATTTTTTAATCGTCCCTGGAATCCACGAGCAAAATATCGTGTCACGGGGCTTGTTTACGTCTGCCGGTAAATTTCGCATCGGCGATCGGCGGCGCGCTGCAGATTTTGATTTATTCGCGGTTAATTCGCGCCGATCCGGAATTCCTCCGCGGCGCGGCGCGTTCGATTTATTTCGAGATCGCGGCCCGCGATCCTCCCTCGACTCTACTACAATCGAGGCTTTAGGCGAATCGCGGGAACGGCTCGACAGAAATAGAGCTTCGGCACCGCGCGTGACGCTCACTTACTTATCCGTGTCTGCTGAGAATGCGGCTCGTCGTAGCCCTCCGGCTTGTCGGCATCTGAAAGCAAGGCGCAATGGCCGGTCATCAAAATGCGATTTGTCATACGCGGGCCGGGGCCCGGCGACAGATAAATAACCTTCGAAATTGCACCGGGGAATCGGACCATTCGTTTCCTGCCTCCGCGCGACCCACTGCCCGGAATCTCCGACCGTCTTTTCGGCGATTGTTCACTTTTTTCCGGAGCTCAGAGAATTATCTAACGACTCGACCGAATCGGGAAGCTTCCGCGGACCACGCCGAAGCCGGTTATTAATTTCAGGTCATCTAGAATATATTTGCGCGAGGCGTCGACCGTCGAGATTTATAACGAAAAATCATTCCTAAAGGATTCTCCCTGGAACGCGCGCGGATCGAAAATATGCGATGCGAATCGCTTAATTAATTAAGTGCCCGATACCGCTTCAAGTATCTCCGATATTTTTCGCGCTGGAATATTTCCGTACACGAAAATGTTCGTGCTCTGTGATGTTGTGAACGGGAATTGATTAATCCGCGACAGTCTCCTAGCAACGCTAGCCCAGAAATTGGTAAACAATTACGGCGAAAAATCGGCGAGTAATATCGTTCGACTGTTCGCAGGGGCAATGCGCATTCCGAAAGTTCGCGTGAAATCCGGACGTGTACGGCAACAATGGTCTGGAAAGTCGCTTTCTGGGACAAAGATTATGGTCACAGTTTTGAAGATTGCATCGAAACTCGATGTACTCTACCTAGCAATTGCTCGAGCTTTCATGTGAGAAAAGCTCTCGTGCTTATAACTCTTTACAGTTCTTTTTTGAAACGCTTCTCGAAGTTCAAATTGTTATAAATTTGACGCTATTTATGTTTTATATCAATCAGAAAATGATTAAAATCGTGATCGAAACCTGTTTTGCAATATATTCCGTAATTAATGTGTAAAACGTTTTATTACACTTTGAACTTTATGATATTGTATTTCGAGCGCCGTGTCTCGGCACAGAATCATTTAAAATGAATTTATAAGACAGGGTGTCCCAAAAATGTCTCTCAATCCGAAAGTGGCGGGTTCCTCAGCTCATTTGAAGCAACTTTTTCTTTTACAAAAATTTCCTCTGAGGCGCCGTTAACGAGTTATTAACGTAAAACAGTGACCAATGAGAGGCGAGCTCAGCTGGCGCGAGGCGACCGAGCCAATGAGCGGAACTGGACTTCGTGCGCTGGTTGGCAGGGCCGCCTCGCGTCAGCCGTACTCGATTCTTATTGGTCACTGTTTTTCGTTAATAACTCGTTAACGGCGCCTCGGAGAAAATTTTTGTAAAGGAAGAAGTTGCTTCAAATGTTCTGAGGAACCCGATTCTTCCGGATTGCGAGACATTTTTGGGACACCTTGTATAATAAGAATTTTGAAAATAGCAATTAACTTCATAATGCTTCGTCAGCTGTCAACTCTTCCGAAATATATTGTACCATTCGATCCATTCTGCCCGTTTGAACAAATAAATAAGTAAATAATAATCTAGATTTGGATGATCTTAAGGGTTCTCAGTTTCTATGGATTAACGTTACGTTCACGGAACCCGTCGAATGACACTAATCGTTCAATTTACGATTATTCGGATCGTAACGACACATCTTACAAAACCATGTAACGATGTACATGTTGCTCGTATAAACTAATGTGAAACAGTTGCTTTCAGTGCTCCGTGAATCTGGTGTTAACCTTAAGAAATTGAAATTTGACCGGGGCCGGCCCAGTTTGCGGGAAGTGGTCGGGGACTTGATTAAACGAAGAAGTGCGTTAAGGGCAATTCAATTTGATGGACGTATTCAAATAAAGTGGACGGTCCGTCCGGCCGGCAATTACCTCGCACGGACAGCTGAACAGCATACATCATCTTGGGCTCGGTGTTCACCTGGCATTCGTACTTGCCAGAGTCAGTCTTTCTTGCGTTGTCGAGCCTGAGCGTCCACGCGTCGCTGCCGGGCGTGTGCTGAGGCCCGAATCTCGTGTCGGAGCTAAACGGCGTGTTCCCGGACGTGAGGATGTGAAGGTCCTTGCTCCTCATCCAGGACACCTGGAAAACCCGTGGAAATTACCGGCCTAATGGAATTAACGACTCGCCGCGGCGTTGCATTAAGCGGCCGGGCCGACAGAACGCGAGCAAATATTTTACAATTACTCCACGGTTCGGGAGCGCGGCCCAGATCCGAGCTTCTGGGAATTCTGCTCTTACCGGCTGCCGAAAGATTTGACCCGGCTTTTTGGATCGATCGCCCCTTAAGCTGGATCTACGAATCTCGGCGAAATTGAAATGTGTCTCGCGGATTAGCACCGGCAACAATCTCGAAGAGCGCGCTTGTCTTTCGGCGATCAGCAGACAGTGTTCGCGATGAAAATTCCTTCGCTGAATTCGAGATGCCTCGAGTGTTTGATCTCTCGCGTAAAACGCCCGTGAATCTTCTTTTCGGATCATCTGCCTATGAATCATCTGTCAGGTATTAGAAAATAACAGGCAGCTGATCGCCTAGGTTATTTTATCTATTTTATTACTTATTTTATTATCGACGACAACTTTCGATAATTTGACATAATATTACGTGTTAATTTAGCAGTGATGAAATGTGATTATTTGTTGAGTTTTAATCTTCTGATATCCGCTTTTTTGTCGAGTAGGTAATCTAATAGTTGATTAGTCAGCTAACAGTTGATTAGGGTGCTTACCGAGTTCTTCGTTGTATTTTACTACAAAATTGATTATTTCTGCTTTCACTCGTGGTGCTTGCAGACCGTTTTTTATTGTTTCGGTTGATTAGTTAACTAATAGTTGATTAGGGTGTTTACTAAGCCTTTCGTTGTATTTTACTACAAAATTGACTATTTCTGTTTTCACTCGTAGTACTTGCAAATCGTTTTTCATTGTTTCGATTGCAACACTCTATGGGTCGTTTGCTATTGTACCACTTTCGTCTGAAATTCGAAACCGAGCCCCATAACCGAATTCTATTTGTCCAGATCGGTTTCCAAACATCCGACAGTCGAAAAATCCAAAAACCTTGGTCAAGCAATTAGATTTGAATTATAAACAAGTGTCTCAGGAGCGATGAAATATCTCCTTGGTTCGTTGACTGAATAGAGTTAGTTCCATATGGAATCCGAACAGTTCTTTTTATACCTGTTTTCGTTAATAAATACAGCTCCTCGCCGCTGTAAATTAAAAGTAAACTTGTTCGAGCTATCAGCCGAGTCCGGAGGTTGACGGAAGCGGATTAAAAATATCCAGCAAACGAGAAAGCATACAGTGAAATGTGCGCGAAGCAGCGTACAATAAATATCGGCGATTTGTCGAAAATTGGAAAAGCAGAGGCACCTTAATTAATACATCCGGATGTATTAACGCTAAACTTACCGTGACGGTCAAAACGACCGGTTTCACGTTGTTTGTTTAAAAATTGTTGGAATTATAGAAGAACTTCCGTAGAAAATAATTGAGTAAAGTTCTTCTTCGGTCGAGCGTACGTTTTCGTAAAAAAGACGAAAAATTTAAGTAAACTCTGTCTTGTTATTCTTGTATAGTGTGTTAACGTTAAATATACTGAACACTAAAAGTTTGTCTCATCTTATAACAATTATAAGATTGCGTTCGTTTATAAATGTTCAGTAATTTCTATTACAATACACGTTGGGATAGAACAACGTCGCCAATCATTTTTTCATAAAAGCATCATTGTCGTTACAGCAATCCCGAAATAACAAATTGGAAACCGATCATGATGTATTTAATGTTAATTCCACGCGTGTCCTCGCTCTCTCTCTCTCTCTCTCGACACGCGTTCGAAATCTTTAAGTGTACGAAGACCCTTCCGGAAGCATAAGGTTCGAAGGATCGGGGTCAAGCGAAAATACTGGACAGGAGTTCGGCACACCATACGGGACTATTTAATAAACAATTTCCATCGATCGACGGCGTGGTCGACCCGCGGGAGCCATTATCATCTCGAACGGCTCGGAAACGGATCGATCGGTCCATAAACGCGGCTCCGTCGGTGGCGTTCGCGTAAAGTCTTCGCCGCTAATGACTCGCATTCGTCAGGGCTCGGGTTGTCGACGTCGTCGTCGTCGTCGTCGTCGTCGTCGTCGACGGGAGCGTCGTTCGGCCTCATCCGATATGTACGACTACAAACGCGGAGAGCCCGCCCCTTAAAACTGAAGCCGGCCCGGAATGCACACTCGCGGCCCGTAAATCAGCGCTCTGTTACGACTTATTTCCTTCCCGGCCCCGCTACTTTACACCCGTGTTACGAGCGGCGTAATACATAACGTAGTAACATGTTACGACGTCGTTACCCCCGCGGCCTCGGCATAAAAGATCGGGGGACTGTTAAAAGAAAGTTCGGATAGCGGAGGAGATAAAGGCGGGGTTTAATGGAGCGACGCGCGAAAAATCACCGTGAAAAATCACGGGAGTTCGGGACCGTGTTCGCCGAGGGAAAAACTTTGCCGACCCTTTTCCAACGTTAATCCAGGGATTCGGTTTCGACCCTCGCCGAATCGAAGCATACCGATGCTCCGCTGCCATCTTGTTACGTCGACCGTTTGCTCTAATTGAAAACCGATCGAAAAATATGTAAATAAATCAATTACTTCCGTTTGAAACTGAAAACTCATCTTTCTGTTCTTTCGGAATGAGATACGTCCTTCTGCGAGTCAAATTCGAATCGTTGTTAACACTAAACCTACCAAGTAGTAATACTAACTGGCATGTACTGCTTCACAAAAGTGAGAAGACCGAATTTATTTGGAATTTGTAAAGTTTTTATTATAAGACTTGCTCCGATAATATAACTTATTCAAGCGTTTTCCATGGAAGAGTCTCGGAACTTTGCAGAATTGCAAAATAAGAAAGCGGTCACTTTGACCGCGGTAGGTTTAGTGTTAATTACTAGACCGTGGATTTGGTGCGTTTTTGAAAGAAGTGGTGAGACGAAAGAGAAAACAGGAAGAACGTAAGAAGAATAGAAAGATAATAAGATAGAAAGATAATAAGTAATGTCTCCCTAACTGACGCTCAGATTGTGCACAAAAATAGACAATTTGGGAAGAGGAGATACGATTAGTTGAGCCTTGTGGCTCGTTTATTATAATCGTCGATTGCCAACAACTATAAAAATGAGCAACGAGACTCGAATAATCGTACCTCCTCTTCCCAAGTTGTCCATTTTTGTGTGTAATCTGAGCGTCAATATGGGAGACATTACTGTATGTTGTTTCTACATGATTGAAACTGTTAAGAGAAGAGATACATTCTCGTTCGACTGTCATCGCCTGAAATTGATGGGGACAGTTTTTATTTTGTATAAAGATCCGCAGTAAACTGATTACTTGAAACGCGTGTGATTTTATTAAGCAAAGGAATAATTTTAATACAACTTCGTTTACGTTGTCAATCGACTGACTTTCATCTCATTCGTTGCACAATCGTTCGCTGTACTTTCAGACATCGTGTTACAGACATAGTTCTAATTTCATTAAGACTCGTGGAAACAGTCATTTGAAACAATTATTGAGTCGAAAAGAAAAATTATATCCCGAACGTATACAGCCATTTTGTTATTTGACAGTGGCCGTTGATTTCAATTGAAGATCGATTTCCCTCCTACAGAACATAAAGAACCAATTCCATTTTTAAACAAAAATTAAGAAACCGAATCAAGATATTGTACCGTCCGAGTCATTTGAATTTCATTAAGGACTGCGCGAGGGGTTCGTTCCAGATCCTCGGCGAGCCCTAAAGGGAACACCGAGCGTTCCGAACCTCGGCTACCCTCGCCATAATGGAGAACCTATTTCACAGAAAAATGAAGAGCGATTCACCGGAGCTGAAACAAGATGTAGCAGATCGTTTTAATTTCATTAGGGCGCGTGGGAGGGCCGCCGGCTATTCTTATCGCGGGGCAACGATTCGCCGGGTAATTTAAACGGTAGTCCGGCTAATATACGGGGCAATTATTCTTTCTTGCTGGGGAGGAGGGGGCAGAGGCGAAATAAAATCGCGATTTCCTTATGTCACTGGCAAGCTTCATTAATAAAACGCTGCAATGAACCCGGTCGGGCAGGTCCATGTTCCGTAGTTAGAGCCACCTTTGACATATCTTATTGCTCCGGGCTAAATAATTAATCCCCGGCCATCCCCGGCCTCCTCCGCGCGCCTCCTCCCGCAGTCGGGAAAGGGGCGGGTAATGGGAGTTTACTGATTACTCAGTTAAATTCACGAGTTTCTCAACTGGGCGAACCATTTCCTCTGCCAGCCTGATTCATCAATTCTTATGAGTTTTCTCCGGCGTTCCTCTATCCCCCCTCTCTCTCTCGCTCTTTCTCTCTCTCCCCGCGTCCCAGCGTCTCCGGACCAACCTGCAGTCTGGAGGATTTAATCCTTAATTCCTCTTGGCCAGTTTACTTTGCGTCGGGCTTTTCATTGGCGGGGTCTCTTAACTTTGATCGATGCGCCATCCTGTCCGCGCGGTCTCTTTAAAGTCGTGAAATTAAATTAAGACTGCTCGTTGTGTTCGTCCGGGTTGTCGGTATACGTGGTTACCGTGGTTTCCGGCCGTCTTCCTCCGCCGGCCTCGAGACTCGTCTCGGGCAGGCTTCCTCGACAAACATTATTCCCGCGTTATGGAAACAACGCGGTATTCTTACGGGAAGGCTGACGTCTGACTCTGATTCGCGCATGAATTATTGCCAGGCCGACCGGGCGGTAGCATTATTTACGATGATGTATCGCGGCCGCGAAGCCGGAGGCGGATTTTTTAAAAATATTAATCCGAGCAGTCGTTATAAAAGTCGACGCGAATTTATGGCCGGAATCTAATAAACGTGTCCGATATCGCAAATACCTGAGAAAATATTTAGCTCGTCATCGCGGAGCCTTAGCAGGCCGATTGGTCGCCTCGATCGATATCGAACACACACACTCTCTCTCTCTCTTCTTCTCTATCAGTCTCTCTCTCTTTCACTCTCGTTATCTTTGATCGGACGACTGCGAGAGACGATAAACAACATCATCGACTTT